CTTCCCCATGGCCCTGACACCCCCCCCAGAGGGGGGCACAAATGGTAATTATATACACCCCTGACCCATTGAGTGGCAGCACATGCACTCTCCCCATGATGAACAAAATCGTCTGGCATTAGACAGTAAAATAATAAGGTAGGGCACATTGCCACTTAAAAGGGTTAAACTTTTAAAAAAACTTACTCAGTATATCTGATATTATGCTACAGCTAGGCTTTCAGGTTTGATAGAATACCATTTTAAAATCAGTAACATAACTACATATGTACCTAGTAATTAGGGCAATGCCATGCACGTAGCACTCAGAGTAACCTGTTGCAGAGACATACCCCATATTAAATAATTGAGTATATTAATTTATTGTATCTGAGAATACTGTGTACATAAATAATATATATATATCAATCAATACCTACCCCTCCAACAACATTTCTGCATGGTGGAGTAATAGGTCTGAAAAATTGAATAGTAGTTCAAATACTGAACTATGAATTGAATATGAGTTCAAATACTGTAGCATAAATTATTGCAACTTACAGTACGACATACACTGGCGTAGCCAGGGCAATATACCAGGGGCAGCAATGCAAATTTTGTCGTGTTCATAGACTGTAAAGACGATAAATTGAAAAGAATTGAATAATGGTAATTGATGACTTGAAATTTGCATTGCCGTCACAGATATATTACACTTGCTATGCCAATGATTATGTACTGTACAGTACTTGTTGTTGATGATAATCTTGCAGGATTTATGCAAGAGCTTGATAAGATCTTGCCATGTTATTGACATGATCATACTATATGATATCTTATTAACCCAATTGCCATAATCGTGCTGAATCACATCATCTTGCAGGATCTTGGCAAGATCTTGCTGGGATCTTGGGAATCTGACAAAATCTTGTCAAAATCTTATGAAGATACAAATGCTGGGTTTGGTGGATAATCCAAGTGAGCATATTCAGTATTTACACAATTTAAGACGTATCCAGGAATGGTTGCAAAAAATGCAACACCAGGTCCTGACTGGAAAATGTGGAAATTGTGTGGCGGAGATTTAATTATAGTAAATACAGTATATAGAAAGCATCAAAATTTGGCGGCCAATATCTCTGCCACGTGATACAAACTTTCCACACTGGCACCACCTCCTCTGGCAGGAATTGAACCTGTGGTCCTGTGATTCCGGTGCAGTGCTCTTACCAACTGAGCTATAGCGGCCAGTTGTTGAGCTGTAACCGCAAGCCAGACTGCAAACTTTGGCCTGTGCGGGGAACATGTTCATAATTTGTAAAAAGCGGGCTTATTTAGTATTTATATTTCTTGTTTACAAAATTTACATTAAATTATCGCTTTTCCTGTGTGTTATGATGTGTGTACCACGCCAGCACGACGCGCAAAACTTTTGTACCACGCTGGCACACCGCACAAAACGTTCGACAAAATTTTGGGTTCCCGGCACATAAAAGAAACTTTGCAGTCTGGACCACAAGTTCATGTATATATAGATTTTCAAGTGTGCGGGTTGTGTCAAGGTGAACTTGAAAGATGTTATTTGCACTTCACTTGGTTGAACATGAATGCTGGGTTGGTGGATAATCCGAATGAGCATATATATTCATACTTAAATTGTGCATATGTATGCTCACTTGGATTATCCACCAAACCCAACATTTGAGTTCAACCAAGATATATGTATGAAGATACAGCAAAATCTCACCTGGATTCAACTATGTTTTCCTCACGCAACAACGAACCCAATTGACTCTCCATTTGCCGAGATTTTGCTGACATTGATGCAATTGTATTGCAACCAAAAAGCAAGTTAAAATTCTATAGCTATCAATGATGGTAACCAAGAGAAATTGCCATCCAAATCATCTGAGAGACTGAGACTGCTAGCAAAGTACTGCACATGTGTTTATTGTCCAAGACAGTGGGAAAGATATTCACAGTCCTACATTTCACGAAAACAGTTCAACTTCATCAAAAATGACCAAATCATTCCAGAATTTCGAAGTAAACAAAAAATGTCTCTCAGTTTATGGAGCTTTTGTACATATATTTGGTGCAAACTTTTAAATTTGAAGAAAAAGTGCCAAAAGGCAAAAATAAACAAAACAACTATACATATCCCAGAACACATTGAGAGCACATGGAAGGAAATTTTGAGAGAAAATGATAAACGAAAATTGAATTTGATAAAGAAATGAATTTGGGTTTGTAGAATGAGTAATGGAGAAATAAGGAGGAAATTCTCGGCCACTGAAGTGGGAAGGACTTGGTCACAGTTGATTGAAATTAATCAATTTGAAAATTTGCTATTCCTCTGCTTGTTTCCTCAATTTTTCTGTCGCTTTTACTGCGGCCGGAGTGATGGAAATTGGTTTTCCCAAGTGGAAACATTGTTTCAAGTGTCAAAGGGAAGCTCTGAATACCTGAATTCTATGTAAATACTACGCCTAAAGAACGTATAACACTTACATAAAACGATTTAGAAATTATAGAATTGTGAAATAGGTTCCATGATATAGGACGGAAGTTGTAGTAAATATGTTGAACTATGTAAAATCACGTCGAAGAAGCCTAAACACATCTTTCAAGCTTTGTTTGTGTGACAACAATCGATGATTCAAACTTGGTCCTGTGGCATACTTGATACTTCCTTTTAGAAGAATTTTGATACAATGGCCACATCTCAACTATGCTCTTGTTTTGGACAACTACGGCCAAAATATAAACGAAAGGTCGACCAGATTTTCCCCAGGGATGCCAGAGATGGTCTGGTGAAATCGAACATGGATAAATTAATTTTTTATGCGCTTTCTTCTCCTGAGAAGTTGGATCGAATTGGGGCGTATTTGGCCAGGAAATTGGAAAGCCATATTTACTGGAAACGGTATGAATTCGTTCTAATCACAATGGAAGCTATGGAGCAACTGTTGTCCGCGTGTCATGCACCAGATATTAACTTATTTGTAGCTAGTTTCCTTAAAATGGTGCAAGCGTTGCTGGAAAGTTCTGAGACAGTTCTGCAAATAAGGGGCTCTGATTCATTCGTTATTTTTGCCAACATTGAAGAAGACACTCCATCGTATCACCGACAATATGACTTCTTTGTATCGAAGTTCAGCGAGATGTGTTATCGTGACGGTGCGAGTACAGAAGAAAATAGCACCATAAAGATGGCAGGCTTAAGGGGCCTCCAAGGTATCTTCCGTAAGACTGTGTCTGATGATCTGCAAGTTAATATCTGGGATAAGGTATTCATGGGAAAGATAATCCCATCATTATTACATGTTTTGGAGCATGGTGATTGGCCGATAGATAATACGCATGAGGAGTCGTTAGATTCTGAAGATGACCCGTGCAGTTTTGCAGAGGCCATCTTACGTGAGATTGTGAGCCAAGCTAGCTTTGGTAATGTTCGTGCCGGAATCGAGCCTGTGCTTTATCACTTAGATGCAGCAGAGTTATGGATTCCAAGTGAGTTCGCTGTTCATTGCTTTAAAATTATCTTATATTCAGTGCAGAATCAATATTCATACCTGGTTATTCAAATGCTTCTTAACCATCTCAACAAACATGTGAACAGCTCACTTGAGATGAAAACAAATGTTGTTGAAGTAATTTCAACATCAGTGGCTATCGCTAGTGCAGAGTCGATGGGAGCTTCTGTCCTAGAAGTCTTTAATACCCTCTTGCATCACTTGAGACTGTCTGTAGATGCTCGTAGTGAAAGCAGCAAATCCCAAGAAGCATTTGAACAAGCAATTATCAAGACAGTTGGTATATTTGCTCAGGTATTACCAGATTATCAGAAATCAGAAATCATGATGTTCATCATGGGAAAGCTACCATTGAATTCGAAAAACTTGATTCGACAGCATTCATACCAAAGGAGCCAATCATTGGAGGATGGTGATTATGAAAATGCCCAGAGCGAGGCACTACAAGAAATGTATTTACTTTGTCTTTTAAAAATTGCTGTTATTTACAACTCTGAGAAACTGTCAACAACATTTCCTGACACCTTACTTGATTCCCTTCTGAAAGTGTCCATCTCCAGAAATGTCCGTATCAGTAAACTCGCATACGAGATCCTTCAAACTCTTCTTGACCGACAAAATAATCTTCCAAAACTTACAATTGAAGGTCTGATGAAGACTATAGAACAGAATGGTATTGTTATTAAGAAATCCAGCAAAGCAGATATTATGTTTTTCCAAAAGAAAAAGGATGAATTGTTTTGGCATATTTATCAAAGTGCATCCAATCGTTTTAACACCACAGAGAACATCTTTGTCATTTACAAAACACTAATTTTGCTTGCTGTTGAGATTAATGATAGTGGTATCTTGGTAGAACTGATTCGCTTTGTATTAAGTTTACAGTTAATCAATGGAGAGAGCACTTTGACAAAGGCTAAAGCAGCAATCCATGCTACAGTTTGTGCTTGTCTGAATTTTATTGGGGAATTAATGGGCATCAGCAAGCTTAGGAGATATGTTGGCACTTGTATGAAGATACGACAGAATTACAAATACCTTTTACCTGCCTTCGCATTCAGCGAAGAGGAAATAGATTTCCCCCAAACAGAATTACCAAGCAGTGTGTTAATATCCCTTGAAGACGTCAGCAAAGCTCTTGAAGAGGGAGGATTTGAAACAAAGATGCTATCTTCACCTTATGTTCCACAGCCTATATCAGAATTGCCCAATGGCCAACAGGATGAGAAGTCACACTCACTTCGTTCAGAGACTGGGTCGCTTTCATCTGCTGAAGGAGTGCATTTCACTATTGCAGAGGAAGTAACATTCGATACCCTCAAAGAGGTTTTACAAAGGAACGCTAGCCAATCGGTGGAAGGGAATTTGGATTTGTATAATGCTACATTCAACGACATCGCTGCGATTGCCGATGGTCGTGCCCGTGAGTTTAATGTGAAAATGGACGATGTTCTCGAAGTTTCCGACTTGATTATTGAGAAGAATAGAATCAAAGAAGCCCCTAGTATTTCATCTCTGCCTGGAGAGGACAATTATGAAATGAATTTTTCTGATAAGTATGTCTATTAGAGAAGAATTACGGACATACAGTATTATAGGTACTGAATTAGCAGATTAACAAAAAATGAGACTGATAACCGAAACAATCAACTACAGAAATACTCTGTGATTTTATTAAATCGAGAGGTTGAAGAATAAGCCTGAACGTCAATGATAACAATTATTAGTATTTCAATTACTGACGCAATAATTAGTAAAATGCATGTTTGGAGACTCGATGGAAGTATTTTTGACCAGGTGTATATTCAGTGGCGAAGCTGAGGGAATTCGACTAGTCGTGCTCTAAGACCCGCACAGGCTAGGGGGGTCCGGGGGCATGCACCCCCGGGAGAATTTTGATTTTCGAAGTCTGGAATGGCTATTTCCTGCGATTTCAGGGTGAAATTCATGCAAAGAAAGCTACAAAAAAGTGTGATATAAAGAGGAAAATTCTTAATACTTTTTGTTTTTGAAATTTGTATTTCCACAAAATTTAATTTTATTTCACTATATATTTAAACTTATCTGCAAATGACGCTCAATATAGCCAATATTGGCAGAAGAAATAGGAGAATATTGTATGTGTACATTTTAATACCCTGCTGAGTGCTGTAATATGATCTTTCATTTGGAATTGCGTAAAGGTCAACTGTAATGTACAGTGTCTACAAGGACCTTGTAAATCTGAAGCAGAAACCTAATGTTGAAAGATACTTTGTTCAGATATTTGGTATATCTGTAAACCTCAAAATATATAAGCACTCGTGAATAAAGCAAATAAACTGGTAGTAAATATATTTATATCAATAGGAAAGGCCTTCACAAATCTTGTTTATATTCGCCATTATAATACAGTAGAATACACAATCGAGTCTGTTCACATGCATTTCGTGAGCTAAAATATCTTGTTAGAAGCCAGAAGGCCTTCCTACTATTCACTGGATTGACGTTGGTCAATTTCCATAGATACATAACCAAGATCACTTGAATAAATCTCGATAGAATTGCTGAATAATTTACGGCATTTAACTTGGTCGTGCTTTCGAAGATGAGCACGACCAGAAGATAAAATTCGGCGAGATACGCATGCGCGAGGAGCAATTTAGCCAATAGAATGCGTTGGAATTGATAATTTAGTCGTGCTGGCCTGACGAGAGCACGACTAACGGGCGGGTTACCCATTAGTCGTGCTATTAACCTGCGGTCGGGTGAAACTACGCAACCATACCTTGAATTGGTTTAAAATCATGGCAAAATCACCGGATTTGAAGGGATTTCGCACTTAATAGATGACGCAAGTGTACGACGAATCATTTTTAAAATTTTGGGGGAATTTTTTTTTAAGACTAAAAAATTATTTTCTTTGAAAAAATTTTACTCGTGCTCAGCACGACTAGCACGACCTCTAGCTTTGCCACTGTGTATATTCAAAAATGTGGTCCTTGTTCTTCGCGTGTAACGTCATTTGCATTACCGTGGAACACCGCATTAAGTGTTTTTCCGCGTCTGACGTCATTATGAGAAAGATCTGTTCACTTGGTCATGGCCTATCGAAGGGAAGATGGCTGTGAAACTCATTAGAATAACAATATAACTCATTATCTGTGTTAGTCAACGTGTATTCATAAATCCTTCACCGTCACGTGTATTGTATTTCTGCCAAATTCGCCAATAGCAATTTCCAGTTTCGCTATTGTTCGAGTCACGGATAGGTGACTTTCCTAAAACATTGCTATTGGTTAGTTGGGTAAAAATACAATACACACGTGACGGTGAAGGACCAGATTTTTGAATAAACGTTGACCAACATAGATAATGAGTTATATTGTTATTCTAATGAGTTTCACAGCCATCTCCCCTTCGATAGGCTATGACTTGGTTTAAAGATTGCCATCGGTTGATATTGGGCAAAAATTATTGCAATGCACATATTATAACAAACAGGGACCACATTTTCCCATAACGTTTTACCAAGAATAATATAGTCATAGATAATGAATTTCATCGAGCTTCCTTACCGTTTCTTAATTTTTGTCAATATATATACATTTTTCTTCCAGTAACTGAATACGTTTTTGGTTATAATTCGGTAACCGGTTTGCAGGAACGAGATGGAAGATGGCATGATTTTGTCTTATTGATGTTTATTCAAATAAGACTCACTGCAATTTATACAGTATTGCTAATATATATCTGTTATTTCCCAAACTGGTATTACCTATTTTAGCCAATCACATGCGAGATTCAGAATCATAGCACGTGTGGAGCAAAAACCGGTACCGATTTTAAAATTCGCACCATTTTGGAATAAGATGCAATGACTGTTTACGTATATAGAAGCACATTTGAAGGCCCTGAAACCATAAGGAAAATACAAGGAAACATTGTACATGCCAAGTTTCATGGGAATGAACAACATTTTGCATCAGCAAACTACACATAGTTTTTGACCTCCAATTTAAACGAAAGTGCTCGTAAAACTGTATAATAACTTCTTTTGAAGATTTTTATTCCCATGCTTAGTTCTTGAGATATTTCATTTTGTTTGTAACCATGTGACGTCATTTACTCAATTACATATATGAGATATCAGTAATTGTTGTGTATCTTTGCTATTTTTATCAAAATATTTCGAAAGATGCGGCGCTTTTGATAATTTAACCTGCATCATTAAGCATACTGTGTTTTTTAACAAATCGATCAAAAATAGCAAAGATACACAACAATTACTGATATCTCATATATATAATTGAGTAAATGGCCCGATTTATACTAGAGACGAATCATCCGTCTGACGGATGATCTGTCTAAGTATAAACACAAGACGAACTATCTAGACGAACTATGTAGACGAACTATGTAGATGAATTTGCCAGACGAAATAGAATCGCGCGATCACAACTGTATGGGAAGTTCGTCTGTGTATAAACGCGGGCAAACAGACGGATCATCCGTCAAGACGAATTATGCACGCAAGTTCGTCTAACTAGACGAACTATGCAGATAATTCGTCTTGACGGATGATTGTCCGCGTTTATACACAGACGAACTACCTTTTGCTTGCTCAAGTTCGTCCAGACGGATGATCCGTCTCTAAGTATAAATCCGGCCAATGACGTCACATGGTTACAAACAAATGAAATATCTCAAGAACTAAGCATGAGAACAAAAATCTTCAAAACAAGTAATTATACAGTTTTACGAGCATTTTCGTTTAAGCTTTGGTTTAAGAGAATAAAAATTTTGATCATACTGCCCTTTTTAACTTGAAACACCATATATCACTGATTTAATTTTGTTAGCTGTAGTTATATGACGTCATCGCGTGCGAGAGAATCATAAAATGTGAAGTATAAGAAATTCATGCGTACTGGCAAGCAGGGAACGGAGTTCCTTGTGCGCTCTTTATTGAGTACTGTCATAAAATTTTTAAATGGTGTATTGAAAAGACGTATTTACAAATTACAATGCAGAGAACTACGACAAATGTGTTGCGTCATTAGGCTGCCAGACCACCGCTCCATCAATTGAGCTATCGAGGCAACAAGAGCTGGAAGCGATTTTTCCACATTGTTAAGGCCCCAGTTACACGATACCGGATTGCATCAGAGTGAGTCAAGCGACATCAACTAAGACGCTTTTCGGCCTCTTACAACTTTTCATATTTGACTAATTCTGTCATATCATAATTTTGAGTGCTAAACTCTCCTTGAAACTTACAAATTTGATGAAGCTCCGATGCGAATCCGGTATCGTGTAACTGGAGCCTAAATGCACAAAACATCATACATAATTTACCAATCGCTTCTCATATTCCAATCTCCGATGGCTTGATAACTCAAATGGTATTGCAGCAGTCTAAAAACTCGGTAAAAAATTACATATTTCATACAAAATTACAATTCGAACTATCGCCTTGATATAATTCTTGATAAAGGCAGCGCGTCTGATTTCTTGTCGTTAATTGTTCCAGGTAATATACCACTGCTATCACTGCCACGGACGAAGCGAATAATCTTCCTCTTCTTTTCACTGTTAATTAACGTATCAAAGTAGTCTATTGCTTTTGTCAAACATGTTTGTTGTTCATCTTTAGTGCTTGTTATTACTTCAGGTTCACTTTCCATTTCATCAGCAGATGAATTGCCACTTTCATGTTCACTTTCGGATTCATCGTCTCCAAATACATTTGAGTTTTTTAAAGGGACTCGAGGTTTTACAAAACGCACCGACGACGTGGCGTTCTTTCCTAGACCGAAATTAAACTTGACAGGCCCCTTCTGATATCCCGAGATTTTAAATCCTGTTGATGATTTGCCGTTATATTGGGAACCAAACTTTGATTTCGCGGAGAGTGTGAAGGATTTTGATGTACTACGAGGTGGTGGAGGTGCAGATGGTAAAGGAGGAGGTTCACAAGGTAAAGGCGGAGGGGCTGAAGTTGGAAGCGGGGGGCGGTGGGAAGAAGTCGGCTTGGGTGTGGTACATTCTCTGGGAGCAGGTGGTGGAGCACGTGACGAAGCAAACGTGGATTTAAATGCTGCTGGTGAAGACTTCTGTTCCGTTCTATCAGAACTAAAATGTTTCAATAATAAAGACAGAAATTAGGGTTCTGGTTGAATAATGGTTTGAATTAACCAGACTACAGTATCCTACCTGTAGGTGAAGCCAAGAACATGCATGTTAACTTAGAATTTCACCCCATTCTGCTTACAATGAATCAAGGTGTTCTACTGTTCTTATAAAGTGCAATAAACGTTGGTTTGGTACTGTACGTACGGTATATTGCTTTTATGTTCGACTAATCCAGACATTGCACTACTTAGAACACCCAATATTTACATACAAATGTTTCACATCTACCTTCGTGCGATTGCTGCAAGTTTCCGCGCTTCACTATCAGTTTGCCGTTCTTTCCTTCTTCGAGAGTCTATAACAAAGAAAACAAAACTAATACAAAACAATACAATTATACTAGAACGAGTAAAATAAAACCAGCAGAGTCTGGTTCTCACCATAAAACCAATAGAGTCTTCTCACCATACACTGGGTTCCAGGAGTGATTTTTGGAAACTAGAGACATTTTAAAATAAAACAAATTCCGAAAATAGACATCTTGTATTCTTGTCTTCTTGATATTCAAGATAAAATCAAGAGTGTAAAGACAGATGATGTGCACAAGATGTCTATTTTCGGAAATTGTTTTATTTTGTATTTTCTGAAGTTGTCTGCTTGTCGTGGTTATTAGAGACGTTTTTACAGTGCATGTTCAAAGTATGTTTTTTAAAAACTTCTTACAAAGACACTTCGTACAATTTTAATTGAGAATGCCACTGTATTAATAATCACACAAACTTTTGTTGCATGCATTACCCAGTTTTCTACGGCTGCATGCATTAAAAAAAATGACTAGACAGAAAACATATGATCACATGTGGCTTTTCCTGTGTGCTGATTGGTGCCGTTACATACTGTACAGTACTTGCTCTCGATTGCATACTTTATCGACGTTCGCTTGTTTGCCGCTTGTACAGCGGAGCTGATGATTTCGGGACCGTACTAGGCCTGCAAATTAGTGCCGATCAAAGCTTTTTATGACCGGACATGTGACCGACCGACTGTCAAATCTCCAATCTCAAAAAATTGTTTATTTAACACCTTTTTATTAATGAAACCAACAAGAAAGTAATATAAACAGCACTTCCCCACTATTTCTTGTTGCACTAAGCCGAAAGATTTAATTATAAATCTACATCACCTATACGTATATAACATGGTACAAATTAAATTTATGTATAACCTGAACTATATAATTTACTGATGCATTAAGACTGGTAGATATATACTGAGTTTTACATGCATTGCACTGCGGACTAACATAACCAGGCAAAAAAACATCGTGCTAATTAAAAAAAAATATGAAAAATTTTACTTTGTCCATTGTCCGAGAAAAATTGATAAATGTCCGACCAATTTTTGGCTTGGCAAGACATTTGTCCTTCCAAGTAAAATAATTATTTGCAGGCCTGCGTACTCAAAAGCTGCAGAATTTCGCACGACACCATGTGAATTAATGAAACCGGTCGAATTCGAGCACAGCTAATAATTGTACAAATCCATGTGTCAACAAATGGAACCAGACGAATTTTCGTATGGTTCCGAGTTTGTCCGATTTCGTGTGAACGTATAAATAAATCTTTCTTACATGTCGTTTGCGTGTGCGGCAAAATAGAAGGTATATCTTGTGGAAGCATGTCATTTGTTTCTCATGGAGAATATGATTGAGATTTTACCGACGTAAATAATGATAGACACTCTCAACCCAGTCACATCTTTCTGATCATTGGATGAGGATAGCCAATACAATTCAGTGAAGGCGGAAATATACTCACGTGTGTTTCTCGCAAACTCTCTTTCCTTCAAGTCTTTTAGTCTCTTCAATAAAAAATAAACTGTGTGAGGATACCAGTAAATTAGCCATTCCCAAGTTGATGAGAATACTAGGACCCAACATTAGAAGTGAGAGAATGAAGACATAACCCAAACACTGGAAAAAACACCCAATAACTAATACCATTCAAAGGGCGACGAAAAAAATGGAATCAACAGGTAAACAAACAATCGCAACCACATGAAAAAACACATTAGAGCCAGAAGAAAAGAAGAGGGTCGGTTTGGAAACTGGTACTGTACAACATGATACGTTTGTTACGGCTTATCTATAATTATCGAGAATTATTATATAAAGTATAGTGCTTTATAGAGATTTCGAGCACTGATAAAACTGATAATCTCACATGTGAAAATTATCGCTTTTCAATTATCACTTTTCTGTAAAAATTATCGCTTTTCAAGGAAAAATTATCGCTTTTCCTTTATATAATAAACAGAAAAATACATGGGTGCTTGGAAATACCAGATTTATTTCTCATGTTCAACACTCGAAATAAATATGGTATTTCCGTGTACCCATGTATTATTCTCTATTTATTATACCAAATGATTCGAATAAAGCACTTGAATATACTCAGTACATTTTTGTGATATTTTTCTAACTTATAAATAAGGAAAATGTATCAGTAAACCTACTTGTCTATGGGCATGATCGTATGAATTGATATGGTTATCGTACTCTTTGTACTTGAAATACTGCTTGTCGCAAAGTTCACAGTAAAAGCTTTCCTTCAGATTTTTCAGACTTTCTTCGATTGCTTTTTCCTTGTCCTGTGTAGTCTAAAGATAATACATTTCACGATAGGGAATTGTAGAGAAAATTTGGCTTTGACGACTACATCCGATCGGTTCTTCCAGCAATTACAAATTACATACAGCGCAGCTATGGTACTGTGCAGGCTATAATTACAGTACATGCAACTAGGGTACTTTGCTGCTGCTTCATTGCCTGTCAACGCTCTGCCGAAAATTGTCGGTTTCCTACGGGTGCTGCGGTTTCCTCCCACAGGAAAAGCTGACAGGGTGGGTTAGGATAAACATAGTTATAAGAATCAAGATCACAATAGTTGTAAAGGTAAAATAGTTTAGCCTTATTTAGGCTAAAGTATTTTGATGTAAAGCGCATTTGATCATATCCATATGTAGAAATTCGCCTAGAAATTGTGGGGGTTTTCCAGCCACTAATATTTAACTTTTGAACAAGCCTGAAAATAAGAGGCCGGTCACGGACATTGTCCAGTACGAAAACGTTGTCCGGCACAACTGTTTTTCGGCCGGACAGTTTGTCAGGCAGCATATTAATACAACTATTGGTATAACTGTCTGTACAACTGGCATTAAAAAATTCATTATTGAATATTTCAAAATATTTACATTCCCCATTTAAAATTATGTGTATGTCCAAATTTCATCGCGTATGAATATTAAGACAATTTATGATGTTCGATTCCGTATGACAAAATTGACTAGTGCCTTAGTCGCTTAATTGTTGTTACTAAGCTTTTCATTGGCTTTTTTATTTCAAGGACCACGAAAAACTATATTTGCTCTATTGCGTTAACATTTTTTGTGAGGGACAAAATGTGCAGTGTCAGGCACCAATCAGTTGGTACCTGACACTTTGTCAGGCACCGTTGGAAATTTATTTTCAGGCTTGCTTTTGAAATGCTTTTTCGATCGCCAAAACAGTAAAAATAAATGTATAATTATACAACCTATAAAATAATGCCTAATGATGAAATGATTTTGAGTGGTAGTTCAATAAAAAACATAATTATTAACTTTTCGTCTTACCCAGTATTTGGTTAAATATACTGTAAGGGACATAGAATTTATATAAAAATGTTACGTACCTGGTATTTATGTTTTAGTTCATCTGTTTCTTCTTTTTCTACTTCCAAAGTTCGCCTTTTGTTTGATGCTTCGTTTGCATGATCGAGCTAACACGATTTAAAAAGCGTTTATCATCAACACACTAATGCATGCATTTGGGCTGGAAACGCCTGTGTGTGGACTCAAAAGTGCCGTTAGGTCGGGTACAATAAATCGCGTACTTACACACCGGAAGTACGCCAATATTATGGTCTGGTACTTGTTTTTGTCAGCCACGTACCACATAGGTACGCGGTACTCTCACTATCTTACAGTACATTTTGCTGGTACTGTATCACCTTTCCAAGATATTCAAAACCGTAATTGTGTACATGTAGATATGGTGACATGTTTTAGCATGAAATGTGATTGAACTGATAGGACTAAAGGAATCTTGGAGTCGTTTGTGTTCTCGTTCTTGTTCTAACTCGTAGTTTCAGGTAACTACTCAATGAATACCTTTCAGAAACCTATCTTGATGTACTTCATTTTAAAGATCATGCAGGTACACATGCAGTCTTTAAAATTTGTACTAGCGCATCTACGCGGCAATAACCATTGAAATACCAGTCAGGTAGGACTAAAAATTTTGAATCATGCCTGTAGAAAAGCTTCCTAGGTGTGCTGGGCAAGATAAATTTTTCGTGACCAAACTGAACAATTCAGATCAAATAATATGATTTTTTCTGTGTTGGTGTTGTGTACTCGGGTGAATAATATGATGTTTGTGATGTTACTCTGAGTGTATATCCACACCGGGCGAGCTTGAAAAATATGCCCGGCCACGGTGGGAATCGAACCTACGACCTTTGGAATACTAGCCCAATGATCTGCCAACTGAGCTACGCGGTCAGGACGGTTCGAGTAAGTGATATTTCGGAACAGAATCTAGTTCCTTCGATACCAATGTAATCTAGTAATATGATTTTTTCTGTGTTGGTGTTGTGTACTCAGGTGAATAATGATGTTTGTGATGTTACTCTGAGTGTATATCCACACCGGGCGAGCTTGAAAAATATGCCCGGCCACGGTGGGATTCGAACCTACGACCTTTGGAATACTAGCCCAATGCTCTGCCAACTGAGCTACGCGGTCAGGACGGTTCGAGTAAGTATATTTCGGAACAGAATCTAGTTCCTTCGATACCAATGTAATCTAGTAATATGATTTTTTCTGTGTTGGTGTTGTGTACTCATGTGAATAATACGATGTTTGTCATGTTACTCTGAGTAACTATATAACTGAGTAACTAATAATATGATGTTTGTGATGTGTAACTAATAATATGATGTTTGTGATGTTACTCCGATGTTACTCTGATGTTTCTGTACAGGCATGTTTTGAATTATCACACTTTGAGGCTGCCTCCTCTTCTCTATCTGTAAACTATGAGGAAGTGGTTGTAAAAAACCTCTTTTTATCAATTACATAGCCTGCATGGCAGGCGGTATTTCTACGGGCAGCGAAAATTAGGGAAGCAAAGGAAATACCGTCTGCCGCAAAACTAGGGGTTTTTGAATTACCCGTCCGCTGGTGAACGGGAAAAACGGGTTGGTTAGTATTTTTATGTAGTTGTCAATCAACGGCTAAATTCGGTTAAATGTTAATCATTAACCAAATGTTTTGACGTTTTGAAACTCTGCGTTTGAAATTAGTTCACGTCAAGTCAGACCAGAAATGGAATAACATAATAAAAGAAGCAAATTAAAAGATACAAGCTGAAAAATAACACTCTAAATAGTGTTATTGATAGAGATTCGAACAAGAATATTTAACAAAGAAGATACGTCCGAAGGGGCCGAAGTTATGATCGGCGAAAGTATGGGCTAGTCTATATTTTCGTTCAGACAATTACATGCGTATTAATTTGATAATATACTATCTCGCTTGACTTTCAAAGGCCATAAATCGCAATAATGTTGACATTTTACCAAAACTATCGATAGAAATTAGGGGATATTTCTTCACCGAATCGAACAGTGGGATTTCCATATAGGCCTATCAGTCATGTTCTGAACCAAAGATACTTGATAGATATTATATACGAACCTCCAAAGTATAAACAAGGGGCCGGTTGATGCAGTAATTATCAAATAACAGTTAAACTCTTATATACCCGTTGAATATGTATAGTTTTAAACAAATAAAAACTATCGTTCTATAAGGTTCAATACTTTCAGTTTGGTTGTTGACTGATGATGAATCTATAGTATAGACTTGCATGCTTTGTATTTTGAGTTTATTAAACCACCGTTTTAAGGCAGCTAAACGGGCTTGGTTTATATTAACACATAAAATAAATTCCTTGATTCTCATCACTAGACACAGTCTACACTTTGAAATGTCGAAGACAGTGGGAGATTTATTTTTTATATTTTATATTTATATAATCTATATATCAATAGTTCGTATCTCCACAAACAATGACAGAATGACAGAGTTTCTTTAAAATACAATGAAATTTCACTCAAAATTCTGTTTGTTTCAAATTGGAAGTTTAAAATGGCAATAAAAACTCTATATAAAATATGAAAAAATTAACTGTCTTGAATTATTTTGTCGGGCGGTACATTTATATTGTATAACGAAAAATAAAACGTTTTCACGAGGATTTTAAAATTCAGTCGGGCGGTGATGAGAATCAAGGAATTTATTTTATGTTTGGCAGTTGGGACTTGGGAGCAGCTTGGGAGTGGCTAATTTTGAATATTTACTTAATTAATGCATCTATAATTAGCGTTGATGCTTCAGGGGCGGTAGTTCATTTACACCCAGTTTTGCGGCAGGCGGTATTTCCTACGTACCGCCTGCCTTGCAGGCTATCAATTACAGTACTTTTTGATCGAGCATGCAGTCGTTAATAATATTATTCATGCATGTTAAATTACCTCCATTGACATTCTTCCAAGGCACAAATAGTCCTCTTTAATGACCATTGGAACGGGAATTAACCTGCCTGTTTAAAGGAAATGGAAATTAAAAACTCGAATCAAAGTTGGCCAACATTTGTAAATATATTAGCCACTACAGTATATGTTATAAAAAATGCACTAAATGGGTACAAGTCGGAAAATGG